GAAATTACAGTCTTCGTGGGAACGATACTCTACTTATTTCTATATTACTTGTGCGAATTGTGCGCTTGCAATAAATTCACAACAAGTTTTTGGCGCTGTTGCCGGGGATTGTTTTATTTTCTATTAATATCAATATATTTTAATTCTGAGTTTAATTTGAATTTCTTCTTTTTGTTTCAGGTACTTTGATCCGTGTATGCACTGTTCTCATACCCTAGAACTCATACCACTTGACCCAGAAATCGAATGTACGTTTCATAAGCGGAACAAAGGAAATAAAAAGCACACTTTGGTGGAACCACCACCCACACCTATGGCGAACGAAGCAGAAAGAGCAGTGAGGGAATTTGGCCCCCCAGTGGCAACTCCCTCAGCGATCCGACGTCCTTCTATTGCAGCCAACAATTTTGAGATCAAGCCAGCCATGATCACCATGCTGCAAAATTCATCTGTATTTTATGGTCTGCCGAATGAAGATCCAAATATACATCTTGCGATATTTTTGGAGATTTGTGACACGTCCAAGTTCAATAGGGTAACTGATGATGCAGTTCGTTTAAGGCTATTCCCTTTCTCCTTGAAGGATAAAGCCAAGCTTTGGTTACTGTCACAACCACAAGACTCCATCCGTACTTGGGATGATTTATCCAAGAAATTCCTTGCCAAAACGGCAAAATTCCGACAAGAAATTATGTCATTCGCTCAGTTTGATAAGGAGCCTTTATATGAAGCCTGGGAACGATTCAAAGATTTATTGCGCAAGTGTCCTCACCATGAGCTACCAACCTGGATTCAAGTTCAGACTTTCTACAATGGGTTAAGTCAAACAAGCAGGACACTAGTTGATGCAGCTGCTGGAGGGGCTTTAATGGCAAAAACGGCTACTGAAGCATTTGAATTATTGGAGACCATGGCATCCAACAACTACCAATGGCCGAGTGAGAGAATGAATCCGAAGCCAGCTGGGGTCTTGGAAGTCGATGCTATGGCTTTGCTAAAAGCAAAAATTTCTAACCTTACTAAAAAAGTTGATTCTTTGAGTGTTAATGCTATAAACACTAATACTAATTTTGGTTGTGATTTTTGTGCAGGTCCTCATCCAAGTTCAGATTGCACCACAGGGAACCCATTCACGTCTGTTGAGCAAGTCAATCAGGTTGGAGAATTTAATCGACAAATAAATAATCCTTATTCCAATACATACAACCCCGGTTGGCGAAACCATCCAAATTTTTCATGGAGCAATACTCAGAATGTGCAGAGACCACCACCTGGCTTTCCGGCTCAAGAGAAGAAAATAAATTTGGAAGATGCGCTCACTCAGTTGACTATGTCTACCACCCAATTTATGACTGAAACAAAAACCCAATCTCAGAATCAGAGCGCTTCTATTTGGAATTTGGAGGTGCAAGTAGGCCAACTAGCTAATGTATTGAGTGGAAGAAATCAAGGAGTATTGCAAAGCCAACCCGAAATTAATCCGAAAAATCAAGAACAAGTAATGGCAATCACACTTCGGGAAGGGAAGCAAGTGAACACAGCGGTCATCTTGGAAAAAGAAAAATTAGAAAAAGAGGAAGAAGCTGAGAAATCTCAAGAAGAAGAAAATTATGCTGCTATGCCGTCCCCTTCTCCTCCATTGAAGCCATATGTCCCACCGATCCCTTTTCCGCAGAGGCTGAAGAAAAATAAAATTGATGGGCAATCTTCTGATTTCTTAGAAATGTTCAAAAAGGTGCAAATCAACATTCCATTCGCTGCAGCTTTGGAACAAATGCCAAGTTATGCAACATTCATGAAAGACATCCTTTCCAAGAAAAGGAAATTTGGTGATCATGAGAAAATCCAACTGACAGAAGAGTGCAGTGCCATCCTACAACGGAAGCTTCCACCAAAGAAAAAAGATAGAGGGAGTTTTAAAATTCCATGTACTATTGGAAATAATTTCTTTGAAAAAGCTTTATGTGATTTGGGGAGCTTTATGTAATTTCACAACACTAGGATTTGCTTTTGGATTTTGGGGAGTTTCTGGCACATTGATGTTCCACGAGTCAGGCAGATCCACATAGTTCAAGTTCTTCATACTTATTAGGCAAAGGGTAATTAGTATGATATGTATTCAAAGATTGAATATAACGTTTGAAGTTAGCATGATATGTATTCCATTTTCTAGCCAGGAAGGAATGAGTTAGAGGAACTTCAAAATAAATCTTATGAAAGTGCAAGAATTTACAAGGAGCATACAAAGAAGTGGCATGACAAGCATATCAAGAATGATCGTGACGATACAACCTTCAAAGTCAAAGGCCATCGATTGAAACCACATATGGCAGCTGCATTTCTTAAGGATGAGACCAACGTCCTCCTCAATAATCCCAAATAACGCATCTGAAAGTCGGGCTATTGACTCTAAACTAAGCGCTTGTTGGGAGGCAACCCAACTAGGTACCTTCGTTCCTTATCTTCTTAATTTTCGTTTGTGTGTTTCCCATGTTCATTGCTTTTACTATTCTTTGTCCTTGCTTTTATTTTCTTTTTAAACATTGAGGACAATGTTTCGTTTAGGTTTGAGGTGGGTAACATTCGTTTTATTTTAATTTTTTTTTTTTTTCCATCCCACAAAAGTGAAAGGTCAAAAACTTGATTAGTTATCATTGACACCACATGGACAAACCATATTGCATGCTTAGCCGTGCACATGGGAGTTGCACCACATCTGACACCGGCAGATAAACTACACAAGTAGCTTAGGGCTTCGTAATCAAGGTAGAAACCACCCAATCTACTGAGCTCCGCGTGGCACTTCCAAGTTCTTCGGCCCAACCACAACCAAGTAAACAACGTGCCTTCCTGCATGGGCGGACGCACAGAGGGACAAATGGGGTCAGTTGACTCCATGGCAGCTGGGAATTGCAGTGGGGAAGGAATGGTGTGACCCCATGGGGCACACCAAGTGCTCGATGAAATGCCTAGCAGAGGAAGAAAAAGAAGCTTGCGTAGGCAGCGCCTGCCTTGCGCGCGTGCAAGCTTCTGTTTTTTTTTTAAAACCGCTTGGCTAAAACGATGTCGTTTTGGTCCAGGCGTGTTAAATTTTTTTTTTTTAACCTAGCTTCAAAACGACGTCATTTTGAGCCAGGTTTTTTTTTTTCAAAAAAACAAAGAACCCCAGCCCATCTACCCAATTCTTCTTCCTCCTAGCAACATCAGTTTTTACCAAAACTTAATTTTTTTTCTTCAAAATTCCCTCTTCTCTAAAAAACTAACTAATCCCCAACCTCCACCCCACCGCCGTCGCCAACCACGTCAAGAAAAAATTAATGTTGTTGATTCAATATATTAATTAATTAATTCAATATAGATTAGTCTTTATGATGTCCCTCTCTAATATACTTAATTAATTGATTCAATATATTAATGTTGTTGTGTGGGTTTATAATTGATGGATTTAATGGAACAATTTTTTAAGAGAAAAGTGCATATGGATAGTGAGTCTAATCCGGGTAGTTCTAGTGCAAGTGCCTATGGTAGTTCTAGTTCTAGTGGACAATTGTAACTTGTATTTTTTAGTGTTATTTTCTTCTTGACAAAATTTCGAGACTTTACACTATGACCCCATAGCGACACAATCCTGCATCCACCACTGCCTTACTGTCAAGCCAAACAGACTACCAATGGATACGTGCCACATATCTCAAATTGCACTATTCAAAGCTAAATCGCCGCAAAACCATTTCCAAGATCTGACCAACATGCTTTGGAACTTCACCACAGGCCAAGTTTCAAGAATATTAGAGGAATAATCAGAAACTAAGGACTTGTGACCAAGGCACCACCTATGACACTAGGACAAGCTGCTCTCTACGTCGGCTCAACCTTGGCTGCAACATTTTTACTATAAATAAAAGACCCCTAGCAACATTCAAAGGGTCCAGCACCAAATCAAGAAGCCTTTAATAAGCAAACCCTGTTATTTTTTTCTATCATGTAATTTTGTTGCTTTCTTAGGAGTAACTATCAGTAACTATCGCAAAAAATCCCATAAACTATTTTGGGATTCGTGGCAATCCCCACTTCTATCCATCTATTAATATATCAATAAGAAAGTTCTTTTGATACCCGCATTTCTTAAGAATTTTCTTGAGAACCATCCAGCCCATCTAGATTTCTTAGGACACCTGCATTTCCCAAGCAATTTGAACCTACTGAGCTATTGAGCCCAATTCCACCATCACCCAGTTACTGAGTTCGGTGACCCATTCATCTACCAACTGTCTTCACCAACGACCCTGTAGTTGAGGCCCTGAACCTACGGTCGCGGATTGTTCCTCTCTCGGTCACAATCGCTTAAAAAGAAGTCAACATCAACTACCACATCCATTCACCCAATTGCACTCACAATCGTTTATGGCCTAGGTTTCGGCACACCCGCACAACACACCAAAGAAGAAAGTCTTTGTTACCTAAATTCGCTCTGGCTGCTCGACATGTGGCCGAAAAGATTTGTAGGTCAACATTTTTGGCATGCCCGGTGGGAGATTTTTTCAAAACACATGCCAACTTAGGCCACTCAAACCAAGGCCATTGTCTAAAATGAAGGCCATGGTACATTGGTCACCACCATCGATGTTCGGCTGCAACAGTTGATTTCATTCTGGGAAGACCCAACTTCAAAGGATCATATTTTCCAGCATTTTCCCTTGCATGTAATTGAACAAAGAACTCTAGCCGCCATTGGAGAAAAAGAGAAGTTCACCCATGTCTCTTCCACACACTTGGAAGATACTTTGGCCAACCATACCCATCGACTGGAGACAACGATCCTAGCAGGTCGCAAAACAAGATGATGCCATCACTTATTTGCAAAACTTGTGTAGTATCCTTCAAGAAAGGTTACCTCTTCCCTAACCAATTAGCTCGCCAAGCGAACAACACCAACGAGATGTTGGGAAAGCTCCTGAGATTCCGCATGGTGAGGGGAGTAGCCAGAACACGGCTCATCAATTCTAGAATATGAGTTTCGATCGATCACCACTTGTTTTTCAGCCCAGGGAGCAACTTCAGCCATAACCCTAGACCTAAGTCAGCGAGATCCTTATTTTTTAGGGGCTTAAGCAGCCTCACTGGGCCGAACTAGTATTCTACCAATCTCAGAAAAAATTAGCAAATACTCAAATGACCTTGAAGGGTTGAACTTCTACCCCTACCTGAGCAGCATTGTAGACTCAAGCCACTGCTACAAAGACTTCGGCTTGAGGATGTGCAACGCATAATTGATAATGGCTTAGCACGGAGATGCCAGGAGAGGCCGAGATATACACGACCATATCCTTCTAACATTTACCGTGAGCCATTTCCTCGAAACTATCGTTTACCTAAGTTTTTTTTTTGTTTTCAGGCGAAGGGCATACTTTATAAATTGAGCACATTGGCCAATTCACGGCTCAATATGGCAAGGCCGACTCCAATGAGCATATGTGTTGATATTCAAAAAACACCATAATTTTGAGACAAGCTTTCACTCCACCAAAAGAGGCAGATCCTGGTTCTCCATAATAGCAAGCTCTACCGAAAGAGGCAGATTCTTATTCTTTGTAACAGCAAGCTCCAATGGAGGAGACAGAACTTTGTGCTCTGTAACAACAACATCCATTGTACACTGTATGTCCATCTTACTGGGGTAGAATGTGCGAAGGTAGAGAAAGCGATTTCTCTCATGTCATATACTAGCTGTGTTTATCAAGCTTCCAGCCCCGCCATTTCAATATTCTTGCCTCATGATAATAAGGAAGAAGCCGTAACAGACTTAGTCTATTTAACAACCTTATAAATAAGTCATGTCTATACGCTTTTTTACCATTACCCATGCCAACATCAATAACCTTAAAGAATTCCAAAGATTTAAGCTCACAGTGATGATTACGATACTTGAGACAACCATAGTGATATTTGAAATATTTAACACCTATCTTATGGTAAAAAAAAATAATAATAATAACAATCCTACCATTAGGGCTCGACGTTACAGTATATGTGTTGATATCCAAATACACAACACTTTTGAGACAAGTTTCCGCTCCACCAAAGGAAGCAGATTCTTATTCTCTGTAATAGCAACCTCTGCCGTATGAGGTAGATCATTTTTTTTTCGTAATAGCTAACTCCAATGAAAGAGACAGATCTTTGTGCACGTAGCAGCAAGCTTCATTTATATCAGAAATTGCTATCAGCACAGCCATTTCAATATTGCTGCCTCATGCCAATGAGGAATAAGACGCAGCAGTCTTTGTCCAATTAACAACCTTAGAAATAAGTCATGTCTATACGCTTCCTTACCATTACCAATGTCAACATCAACAATCTTAGAGAATTCCAAAGATTTAAGCTCACAGTGAAGATTACAATACTTGAGGCTATCATCATGATGTTTAAAGTATCTAACAACGATTTCATGGTATAAAAAAAAAAATAAGAGTATTGCCTTCAGGGCTCCATGTTACAACATATGTGTTGATATTTAAAAAAAATAACAATTTTGAGGCAAACCTCCACTCCACTGAATGAGGAATATCATTGTTCTTTGTAACAGCAAGCTCCATCGGAAGAGGCAAATCTTTAATCTTCATAACAACAAGTTCCAATGGAGTAGGCAGATCCTTATGCTCTATAACATCAAGCTCTGCAGGAGGAGGTAGATCCTTATGCTCCGTAACATCATACTTCATTAGACACTATATATCCATAGTGTAGCATGTGCTAAAGTGGAGAGCGATTTCCCTTATGGCATATACTAGTTATGTTTATCAAGTTTTGTTTATATCAAAAGTCGCTCTTAGCACCATCATTTTGATATTGTTGCCTTGCGTCAATGAGGAAGAAGCCGCAACAGACTTAGTCTATTTAATAACCTTAGAAATAAGTCATGTTTATATTCTTCCTTATCATCACCCATGCCAACATCAACCTTAGCGAATTTCAAAATTTTAAGCT